AGTACTCAATCGAAGAACAATGATTTTGCCCTAAATCTGTGCCCAGACGCCTCCACCGCTCCACGACGAGCAGCCACGAGTTCGCCGCCTCCAATCTCCAGCGCCGTTCGCCGCCTCCAATCTCCAGCGCCGTTCGCCTCCATTCCAGAGTGGGCATTTCTTCACTCCCGACTAGCAGCCACGAGTTCTCCTCCGAGACATATACCCGACAGGCAAGTACGAATATTTTCCAGATTGCATTTCCAATTTTTGCCTTTTCTTTGTGAAATGGAACCGACTCGATAGTTAATCAATTTTCAGAATTTTCTGTTGTTAATTCTCAAACATTTGATTGATTAAAGAGACAAATTACATATAATAGGTTACGGGCAGTAGCAAATTTTTCATTTTTCGCCTGGAAATCAAATTTTGCGTTATATATATACAGAGCCATTGATTAAAGAGAGAGAACGAATTATGGGTAGCCATTGAATTTTGTTTTCTTGTGCAAAGCCACAATCTTTCTGTGACTTTATTACGGGGCCCTTTCTGTTCATACTCTGGTAAATCAAATTGCTACCTCCCTTACTCCATCTTGATCTTTTCCATGTATGTCTATATCTCACTTTCTGTCACATTATCCTGCCAATAAATCCGAAAAAAAGGTCCAGCTTTTGTTTATGTAAATATTTGTTAATTTGTTGTGTATAATTTATTTATTTACTTGTAGTTTGGGTTATGAATTTCTGGGTTTATTGCTGTTATGATACCCCCCCTCCCCCTCCAATCACTGCAGGTAAGAATGTATATTCTGTGTCCATGATTTGGTGAAGTTTTGTTTTCTGTTAGTAATGTGTTCTTTATTTCTGGGTTATGTATACTGTCATGTATTGTCATGTATATTGTGTGTCCTTAATTTGAGTTATGTAATTATGTGTTCTGTTTATTGTCATGTATTATATGGTTAGGTTTTGTTCTCTCTTATGGAATTATGTTTTGAGTTATGTAATTATGTGTTATGTTTATTGTCATGTATTATATGGTTAGGTTTTGTTCTCTCTTATGGAATTATGTTTTGAGTTCTGTAATTATGTGTTCTGTTTATTGTCATGTATTATATGGTTAGGTTTTGATCTCTCTTATGGAATTATGTTGTTATTGTCATCATGGGCTTTGATTATGTTGTTCT